ATATATGTTGTGTGGAATGATTCCCCCAACATTGCAATATCAGTTTTAGGTGTTTTGGTGATGTTTCGTTTGGATGCTGAGCCGCTGAAATAATTATTTATAAATAGACGAAGGCCCTCAATTGAGCTGGTGGATTTGATTTGAGCAAACAAGATTTTGATGAATAATAATGTTTGATGAAAGTGACCAAGCAGGTTGGAGTCTAGAAAAATTTTAGATGAATGATGGTTTGGATGATCTAAAATGTGATAAATCAATTCTAAGAAAATTGGGTAAAAGGACTTGGGATTTGACGTCATGACATTATGAATTTTGAACTGATCAAGCAACTTGACAACATGAAGTTCATTATTTAAAAGCCCATTGATCGCAGTGACAAGCATCTCTGGTGGTAGCTCAATTGGAAAGATTTTGAAAATAAAAATTTTGTGGAAGAAGTGGTGAAGTGGTTTTTCCAAGTGACCAATAATGATAATTGGCATGGTTGTTTGAAAAAATGAGTGGTTCCTTTACCAATATCGCAGCTAAGCAAGACATTAGTGGGGGTGATGATGGTTGAATGAGAAAAGATAGAGCAACAGTTGGATCAACAGGTTATTGGCACACAAAGGTGATGCTCACAAATAAATGGAATATAATGGGATTTGGCGGAAATGAGTATCGGCGCCAAATGTCGCAAGTTGGTGGTTGTGGATATTGTTTTCGTTGTCACAAAAGCACTGGGTTCTGAGTAGGCAAAACCCGATAGATGTTTTTTTTTAATACTGGATTGACTCCATTTGTTCAGAAATGCTTCACATCTCTGAGACTCCACAACTCATAGTGTGTTTCTCTGACTGTGACTCACAGGAAATGGATTTTACTAAGACTTTGCAGTGGATATTTGAGAGGTGAACTGTTTGGTGATCTCCAGCAATATGTGCAGTACTGACGAAGGTGGAAATATTATTTATGTTGAAACTGGCAGTACTGCAAAGACAATTCGATACACGCTGGTGGTTCGCGACTGACTGTGATTCAACAATGAAATTCACAATATTTTGATGAGACAATTCGGCGAATGTGTGTTTGTTGATTTGGCACTCTCGCTTCCATGATGTTGAACTATGATCTGCACCAATAGGTCCCAATCTCAACTGGCATATAAGTGACTGGAGAGGGTGGTGTTCATTGTTTTATAATTAAAATAGCTGTAGAAATGCGGACAATCTACATGAAAAACAAAATGAATTGAAATTTATTAGTTGGGCAATTGATTATATTCTAATAAAAAAAAGTTTGAAGGAAAATATGTATAACTCTGTATCTTTTCAACCGTGCTATTTAGATGTATTATTTTGTTGTGAGGGTTCTGGTTGTCTACGTTCGGTGGATCGGTGTCTGTCCCCGGTGTGCTCCCGTGACGCTCTGTGATGTAAGCCAGTTCCGTATAAAAGGTAATGGCGATCTTCTCTACCATTTTTTTTCTTATATATTTCTTTAGCTTGGTATATCATGATGGATTCGGATCAACAAGTTATGAGGCAAATTGGAAATGGTCCTGGCAAAAATCAAAAAACTTAATGGATGCTGCAAACTTCACTATTTGCGCTTTGGTCCTGAATGTGATAGCAGCACAGGTTGGTCCGTTGGTTGAAACTTCTATCGAAAAAAGTGGTATTGTTGGTGATAATTTTGACTTGGTTAAAGTTAGGGTTGCTGTAAATTTCATAAGCCAGGCGTGGGTTGCTGCAGACTAGCCTTGTTTTACTGAAGGACGTACTATCAATTGGGTAGTGCGGCGGTCAACAATTAGTCAACTTGAAAATGATTTACAAATTTATTGATGATAAAGCCGCTATCAATTCAGGCAATTGCCTTACATGTGGTGAGCGGCAAAAAATATGATTGCAACAAGTAGAATTACAATTAATTTGCATCACTTCAAATGCAAATTTTTCAAACATTGCAATGCTGATTAGGTGGCATTATTTAGCTACAGTTTCTGTGGTGGATACATTTAACTTAGAAATGATCTTTCGTATTTCACGGACACTAAGAACATTGCATCTACAACTGAAAGTATTTCGTCCAAACACTCAAGTGGTGATGCAACTGTTAGCTGCTGCAACTCTACGGCACAATTGACTTCTTGGAGGAAGCCGTTGAATTTGCAAACCTACGAAATATGGAATTGAATAATTGTCGCAATGTAAGGCATTTGGCCGAGGAGTGTTCAACATATTTTCCCGCTTCTGCTGGTATTTCAATTCCGGTTAGTAGGTCTGGTGTGGTGAATGGTGTGCATGTTTCAAGAATTATACGCTGTTGCTTGCGCGGCCATTGAAACGATATACAATATATATCTTGAAATGCTAACTCGTGTACTTTACATTTGCAAGTGTGCTGAATATTTGTGCCAACATTAATATCGGTAAGTGTTTGTACTTTTCAGTTTTCTGAAATTGTTAGTATTGGCTTTCAATTATTGATGCTCTCAGTGCTAGTCGCGCGAGGCATGTAACCGGTTAATCATCTGAGTAAGGATGATGTGCTTTGCATGGAACAATGTAGTGCATGCTGGTCTGTTTAAAAATAGTTAGGTTTTGTTTTCTGTTAGCAGTGGAAGATGCAATTTGATTGATTCAGTAGCTTGCACAGGAGCAGCTCCAACATTTGTTTATTTAGTCCCTTGACAATCTGGGGTTGCGTCAACTAACAAAAGATGTCATACACATCTACGCATGCGGATGAGTTTGTGGCAAATACCAGAGCAAACATCTACTTTATTTCTGCTGCTGCAGATTTAAAGTCAGCGTCGCGTCATATATGGAGCACCACTAAGGCTAATTGCATGTCATGTGCACAATTGGCGACTGCCGTTTTAATTTGTTTTTTGTTAATATTATTGACTAAAGTTAGTTGGTGAATATTACTAAGCACATACTGTTTTTTCCGATAAGATGTCTGTTAAGGGAAAGCTGTTGTTTTCCAAATTGTACAGGATCCTATCGTTCTCCTAGGTAAGTCAATGATATGAAGTATAATCAGCAGCATTTGTTGAAAGCAGATCATAGAAATAACTGTAATTGCGAATACATGTGCGAACTGCTCAAAAAGATTGAGTAACATTTAAGAAATGACGCCATACGGGTCAGTTTATTATAGATGCTTTTGCATCGGGAACGGTGATCGTTGGCAAAATCCATGACTAATTAGCATTTGGATCATGTCATGTCAAGTTTGTTTCTCGAATTATTTGTAAAGCAATCGAGGGATATATGGAGCAATTGTGGCGACTTTGATCGGCACTAAACAAGATGCATATCTGCCTCCACCTCTTTAATCATAATATAAAATGATCTCAGCTGCTTGTTAGGTTGAAGAGTTGGGATGTTCTGCGAATGGCTGATTTTGAAATCAATCGGTACAAAGAAACTTTAGTATGAAGTGTGTTTGGAAGATGCTGGAAGATGCTGGAAGATGCTGGAAGATGCTGGAAGATGCTGGAAGATGCTGGA